ACGTGTGCTCTTCCGATCTTGTCGAAAGATAAGTTCGTGTCACGTTACCAGGTCCGCCACGAATAGTTAAGTGCCGTATCGGCGAGTATCGAGTAAGAAGAAGCGGGAGATTGTAAAATAAACTTAGACCATATCTAAGGGCAAATAAAGTGTATTTTTGAAAAAGTGATCAAAGGCGTCTGGGTTATTCAGTTTCCCCGCGGAGCCGGACCCCGTTGTGCCAGCGGCACAACATTATTGGTGGCAGCGGTGGGATCTGAACCGGAAGCTCCAGCCAATCCCTAGTAGCCTGTAACAAACAAGTACAATTAAAGAACGGCGAAGATCGAGCTAGCGAGGAGCAGCCAAGGCTAAGCCGAGCGCAGCAAGCACGAGTCAACCGGTAGCAGCCACGAGCGAGGCGCCGATAGCGAGCGAAACCCGAGACGGCAGCGACCTACTACAACGACTCTGCCACAGGCACCACGATCACAGCGGCCAGCGGACAACATGTATTTAGCGTAATGTAAGTCCGTATATGAATTAAGCGAGATTTGTAAAAACTAGAATAGTAAATGTCGGAAGGTTCAAATAGAGAGCGTCACAACCGAAATACGCCCTGGTTACATAACGAATCAGCACGTCGTGTGTTTACACCGACCTCGGTAAGCTCCGTGAGAGTAATAGAAAAAGCGGTACAGGACATTAGGGAAAGCGTGCGCAGGAATTTAGAAACTTATTACTCCGACTCGAGCTCGTCGGAAAGCGAACCCGAGCTCCATCCGAATCTCGTGATAAACCGCGAATTCCCATTCAATGACATAGATGCAAGTTTAATACGGACGAACGGACCGGACACGAACAGATTACACCCACAGTACGCACCCTCCGTATTATCAGACAGTGCGGTGCAGGCTCACGCACAGGCGGGAGTTCTCCTTGACCTCGTACGATAGTAGCGTATTTGATCCAAAAGAGTTTTACACTGCTTTAAGAGAGGCGTCACAATTAGACATGTCGCGTCGGCCACCGAAAACACCGGTCGAACAAGAAACCGAGAGACAGCCGACCAGCGACGATGAGATAATTCAGCTTCGGGAGATGATAGCCCCGCCGAGTGCAACAGAACAGCCAGGGACTAGCCGCGATGCGCTGTTAGGTATTTACTAGCAGCAATACAAGCGTCTAACTATCTTAAACTATCGTCTCGGCCAGATAGAAGGCGCACGAAATAAGAACCGCAACGAAACGCGACACCCACCGGACAATGACACGCTCGACTTGACGTACGGGCGTACTAGCGAGGATGTGCGAAATCAGCGCGGGTTTCCCGAAAGGGGAGGAGACGAATATATGAAGTTGAAAGAAGCACGCGGATCAATTCCAAAAACAGACGGATCGTCGCGAAAACAAGTACA